TGGTTATAAACCCGAAAGGGAAGGGGGGTGTGTGTTTTTTGCCGAATTTCTGGTTTTGGGGAACAACAAAACCCTTGCCCATAATGGCCGCCCCCCCCCCCCAGTCCCCATGCATGCAACCCAGAGTCACAACAGCTGGAGAAAGGCAAGAGCAAGCCGTGTCCACCGCGGCGCCAGGGCCGGGCATGCGCAGGGAACCGCTCGCTTTGCCTGCGGACCCGCGGGGCGAGCGCGGGAGACCAGTTCGCGGACTCCCGAGCGGGACGCTCGGAATCCGGACCAGTCCTGCAGAGCCGGCCCCCTTCTGCCGGGGGAGGACTAGGCCAGTTCGGGTCGGGCTTACAGGGGGCTCTCTCTGAAGCCAACTGTGTCAATGTCAGTTTTCACCCGGCAGTGACCGCCTCCAGCGCACTAGCGCAATGGCTCGGGACGCGCGGGCTTCGGTCCGGCTGCAGGAGGGCAGAGTCGGGGTCCGCCGCGGCTGCACGAGGTTTTTCTTTCCAAAGGGCGAGGCGGTCGATCTGAAGCGCCACTTTAAAGGCTCATCAATCTTAATCTAGGTTGCTCAAGTAATTATGCCCGAATCTCTTGTACGATTACAAGTGGATTTGGGTTTCTATTCCCCAGGCCCTCCTTTGTGTTTATTGGAGGGTCTGTGCGCGCGCTCGCTGGCGCCTCCAGCCTCCCGCTCCCTCCTCCAGATCCCCCAGCTCTCTAGCGGGTTCGAACTGCTCCCTTAACCCTTCCTACACCACAATGCTCCAGGGGATGACACTTTTCCTATTTCCCCGTTGGAGAAATTCCCTGGGCTTAAGTGGGGCAAGAGGTGGAGTGATTCGCATCTGAAACAAAAAGGCCTCCTTGTTTCTTACTAAAAACATTGAAAAGTCTTCATTCTAAACACAGGATTGTGGATTTAGGGTTTTTTATGGAGGTTTCTGACTTTTGGATTCAATAAATGGTCAAAAACATTAAAAAATGGAGAACTGATTCTTTCTCTTAAAAACTAATTTAACATACCCAAACAGTCTGGGAAATCTGGAAAAAGAAATCAAAACGGTTTATCAAAACCATACTCACCGATTTACCAAAACACAGTTATCAATTTTAAGTTATAAAGCCCGTGTACTTTAACAGGCAGCACATTTTCTCCACTAATTTCTCATTTCTGAAAGGGGACTGTACTTTCTTTTGATGCTACTCCAATTTTGTTCTATTGTATTGAGATTTTCTGGGAGTTTATAAAAGGATTTCTTAAGAAAGTCTTTTAAGAGAGACACATCATGAAATATTCAGCCATAATAGTGTGTCATTTTCTCCCTTGTCCTTTGGAAATCTCCAGTTACAACTTCCCATTCCATAACACGTTTAAGGAGCACCAAGTCTTTTTGTTGTAGCCTTCAGGGAGCAGAGCAGCCACCTAGTGAGTACAGAGTTAATCCACTGCTGCAATAGAGAGGGGGGGGGGTTAGGCTTTAATCCCCTTTGGGGGAGAGCTTCTGGATTTTAGGGATCCTATATTAAAATGTTTACATAAAGCACAATCACATACCAGCAGATTTTCCATATGGTACCAAATGATTTAGAAACCTTGGATCTTTTTCCAGACAGGTTTTGAAAGGGCAGCATCCCTGAATGCCAGTGAGATGGCCAGCTGGCTGGCTGATTTCTAGCAGCAATCTCAAGCATCTATGGATTTAACCTCTTAAACTTTGATTAGTGTCTTGAGTTGGGAACTGACTGTAAATATAGCCATTCTAATAGTAATAAAAGAATATATTAAAATAATGTCCTCAATACACACAGAAGTAATATTATAGGATAAACAAGTGGATGTAAAAGGCCAATTTCTATTGTATTGACACATACACTGATTTAACATTCTACCATATAAAGGAAAAAATGTTACATACTTTCACATTGGATATGGACCTATTACTATTTTTATAGGAAGTCTGGGGTATTACTTGCCATTAATTTGTTCATTTAAAATTGGAATTAGAACAAAGAACCTTAAAAAGAATGAACTCTTTTGGACCATGGTGTCTTTCATCAGTGGCTATGGTAAACCTCACTGTGTACTGAAGAGTAAAAGTATGGTGCTTTGTATTTGGAAAGGGAACCATTCAACAAATACATTGTAAAAGAATGTTAAGCACTTGTAGGTTTGGA